ATTCTAGCTGGGTTCCTTTTGTTTTTTCTTTTGCAGTGCTGGGGTCAAATACAGGGCCTCAAGCAAGCTAAGCAAGTGCTCAACCATTCAGCCACACCCCACTGTAGCTGTTCTTACATAGCAACTAGGACAAACTGGGTCACTGCTTTGCAAGGCAACTTGGAGACTAGAGTATTCCTCATTTTTAAAGAAGTATTTGGGGCTAGGCATTTCACTAAGTGTTAGCTTGCCAGGCAAGTGCAAGGCTCTGGGTTTGACCCCTAGCACCAAGAAGAAAACTAAAAGAAAGTGTTGGTATATATTTGTTTATATATTTTTTTGTAGACTGTAGTCACATTAGAAGATCTATGTGCTGAGATCTATTATATGAAATATCTACTGTCTCTCTTAATTTTCTCTCCTCTAAGAATATTAGAATTAAAAAAAGAATTAAAAAAAGAAGAATATTAGAATTAATGTCATATATACTAAAGTACTAACACCTGGCCCATTCCTGTAAGGAAAATAAGTGAGATGCTGTCTGTTTCTGGAAACTTCAATGTAGCTGAAATATTAATGAGCATCTACATCAATACACTTTCTACTTGAGGAGCTGTGAATTGGACATAAAAGATGTGCTTACTATAGATGTCTTAGAAATAAAATACATCCTTCAAAGGGGAAAAACTGAATTAGAGCAAATATATCATTAACAAAGCAGTCAATTCCCTTTATTTTTAAAATTTTATGTACACATATGAATGATCTGTATAATGTACATTCAATATAGAAAGTTTTATATATTTGATAATGTATAGAACATTTCACAATTACACTAATCTCTTACATAACATCTTGACATCCATTTTAAACTTTAAATTTTTTTTTTTTGCACAAGCTCCTTTTCATTCAATTTGGTAAAGCCAGTTATACATATCGATGTGTACTGTGAGCTCTCAAGAAGTTAATGATTGAGGAGACCAGGGAACAGGTACAGGAACAAAAACCTAATAGTGTTCGATGACGGGAGGAGAATGGCCACGTGACACTTTTCTGGGAATAAGTGACTTAGTCCAATTTCTGAAGACTGGATGGAGCTCAGCCCCACAGTCACACTAATTCAAAAAAACATTATAAAAACTAGGAAGAAAGTGTTGTCTTTTTGATTCACAGTCTTGTAAACAGATAGAAAGGAAAAAAAATGTGCTTACATACATCAAGAAAAAAGATTCTTGTGTACCCACTTAGGTTGATCCAGAGTGTTTTCTCATAATGTGTTACAATTATGATCACTGACTTTTTTTCCCTAAATAAAAATATATTTATAGAAAAAGGAATAACACTGTCATGAAACCAGGAGAAAGGCAGTAAGAGTTTGCTTCAACGTATCAGCTGGAGGAATGTGGACTCGGCACTGGCCTTTCAGCGATTATTGTCTCTTGTAAGTATTTCAAGTCTGATAGCCAAGGTCGCCTGCCTCATGGTCTACAGGAGGTGGCAGGTTAGACATGACTGATGAGGATGTACCTGCGGTAAGGTAGCCAGCAACTCCAGGTCCTGCAAGAGAGAAAGAAAACACTCACTCCAGAGAGCAGAATCATGCAAAAACACTGCCCTTTACATAAAGGTCAGACCTGGTCAAGTGCCCCAACATAAGAAACTGATAATCTATGAGAATCACCTAAATATACAACTGAACTTCAACAGATTGCAACCTACCATCATTTTCATGGTTTGCTTTTACTATGTGACAAAGTTAAAAATCATTTTGAAATTTATGCTGGACAGTAATACAGATGTGGAAATATGGAAACATTTTTCCTTCTCATGTCTGGGAAGTTCAATCTTTCAAAATATCCTGGGCACTGAAAGAGCTATGGCAAATGGAAAATGGGAACAAATAGAGAAAAGAAATTCTACACTCAGCTCATCCAAAAGTCATATGTGACAAAATTCTCAACATAAACACTTCTGTCAACATTCAAGTCAATCTATTTTCATTTGGTGCAAAGATATACTATTCTAAAAAGTAACACCAAACGAAAAAGGGTTGTTACACCAAAGTCTGAGAAAGAGAAAGGCTCTAGACATTTATCTATCATAGATTAAAACAAGAATGCTCTGGGAAGAGGGACTGATATTTTAGTTTCACATGTCTTCTTTGATTCTGTCTCTATTGCATGAAAATGCTATACCTGCCAGCATTTATCCAGACGTGTTCTCAGAGCATGTTAATGGTATTAGCCCTCTAGAGTTTATTTTAAACATTGCACGGACATTTAATTACATCTCACAAAATAACAAGCACTTCCAAGAGAAGTATAGCGTAATAATGCATATTGAGCAATATTTTTAGCTGAAATTGTAGGAAACAAGGCAATGACTACAGAACATCAAAGGGTTAGGACTAGAGAGGCAATGGGAGCAGCATGCATTTAGCAAAATGTTTCTCTACCTGCTTCAGAGAGCTACACAGAAGTTAGCAAGCTGCCTGGCAGAGCGGATCTAAAGTCCGCTCCTGAGGTGAAGGGGGCTGCTGCCAGTTAGAAGGGAAGGAGAGACACCTGGGGGGAAAAAAGAAATATAAGCAGCAAGGGAAGTGGTGAGGAAGTGCAACAGCAGAGCAGTCTGACGAAGGCTGAGGCATAACAGGACTGATGAAGGACAAAAGGCCACAATTCAAATTCACCTCGTTTCTCACCTCACAAGCATTTGCATTGTGGACTTGAAATGGCTTGTATAGACATTGTGCGAGTGGCTATGTGGCCAGAGATGATCCAGTCTGCGTAAGCTGTAACTCAGCCAACCCCAGTGCCCAGGTACCTGGAGCCTTATAGCACTTACAAAAAGTATTTTCTTTGCCAGTGTACCAGAGGGGGTCTGCATCTATCAGCCCCCACCTTCCACTAATCAGGACGCCAGGCCTGCCAAAGCCTGCTCAGGAAAAGACCACCAGGTTATTGAGCCTCCCCAACAATGTGGTTCAAAGTTACAGTTCCACACTGTTACAGAACTTGCCAACAAGTTAGCATTCTCTGAACTTAAGACAGAAGCAAAACTATCACACAGGTCTCATTAAAAAACCTCAACCACTCCAAACTGGTGTGGTTTGTGAGAAACTGACCATGGGCTCAATTTAGTTCATATAGATACAGTAGGTTATGCAACTGAACCATGAATAGTACTTATGGAAAGGGGATTAATGCTGTGGTTCTCAAACTGTGTGGTGGGGTAAATCACCCTGGATAAATTCTCAGGGGACTGCTGGTATTTTAAATTTGAAACACAGTGACAGAGACTACCAGAAATGTGAACAACTCCTTTCCATTTGTCTGGATGTAACTACTTCATAAACAACTGTTAGGTATCTTCTGTGGCCTAGGCATGGATGAAAATATTACTAAGAGCATTATTATTAAGAGTACTGTAAATGGAGAAAATTTGGGAACCTCTAGGCTAAAATCTAAATTGTGAAATATGGGCCTAGAAGGAAAAATATCAAATTCTAGGCCCACTTCTTTAGGAAAGGCAAATCAACTCCTGGGTATTTCTACAAGCACAGTCTGAGATGCTGTTCTTCCCCAACCCTGCCTCCAGTCTCTCCTTGAGGATGCATCTGATTTTTGGGACTGAAAGGAGCTATCTGGTCATCAAGATGAGATGCAATAGCTGTGTTCTCCAAAGAAAAGAGGGAAGAAAATAGAGGTGCCAAGGTATGTGGAAACACTGTATAAGGATGATGGACTTAAGAGAAATGAAAACAGATGGAAAATTAATAATTCTACATATGAAATTGGCTTCCATGGTGAAATATATGCATGTGAAATTCTTCATCCCTAATTCCATCTCTTAAAAGCATCTTCACCTTGGATTCTTTTTCACCCAAGGATTCTGCTTTCACTACTGATATTCTAGGTGAAGTGATCTGAGGATTATCATTGCTGAAATTATTTTTATAGGACTCTGAAGTCACAGGCAACAAGCTGTTCTAGAACCTAACAAATGGCTAAGTACTTGCAGATAATGAGAAAACCACAAAATGTCTATATTGCAGGAAAAAACCCACTGAGACATTGTTAAATAAGCATTTATCATAAGAAAACAATATGTCAGGACAGAGAATCTATGGAAATAGGCAGTCTCATAGTAATTTACCAACACTGAGCAACTCTACCTAGAACTTTTAAATTTTATCTTAAATCCCAAGCATGTGATTGAATGACATTTGCTCAGTGGCCAGAGAAGAAAATCATAAGTGAATCTTTGGTCATTCTCACCTTACTTTGAAGTAGTAATTAACGTTCCTTCATTTTCCCCCCCATCTCCTAAACAATACCCATTTGCCAAACATATCCAAAGACATCAGTTATAAGAAAGGGTTGGTAATGTGTATTCTCATAGCACCTTAGTTCATTTGAAAATTGATTAGAGACTGACAGGTTATAATATATCTTCCAAAGACTGAAGGTAGGATGGAGTACAGTTTAATTAAATAGAATTTCAAATCAATATGACACTAAGTACATTCCACTGAGTTCCACATAATAGAATTTTAGCAGTATCAGAAGTACTTGCTCCTTTATTAAACTCATGACACACAATACATCAATGGAAAAGCTAAAACAAAAACAAAAACAAAACCATTTGACAACCTAAAAAAATGGACATGAATCCATCCATCCAACTGGCATTTAACTCACAATCTTTTTTGGGGGGGTACTGGGGTTGAACTCAGGGGCACTGGACCCACTGAGCCACACCCCTAGTCCTTTTTTGTATTTTATTTAGAGACGAGGTCTCACTGAATTGCGCCTCACCATTGCTGAGGCTGGCTTTGAATTCATGATCCTCCTGCCTCAGCCTCCTGAGCCGCTGGGATTAAAGGCGTATGTCACTGTGCCTGGCTTAACTCAGAATCTTAACTCTTGAAATAGAGTTGGTCCTTTCAAATGGAGTAGACTAAAGCTGGTAGAAAAACCTTGTCAAGCAACCAACATCTCAACAAGAACACTAGAGACTGATGATCAAGAATCAGACAGCTCTGAGACCAATGCAGCTCACAGCTAGTTTAGACTGTCCTGTGTTGACATGACTGAGGTTTTAGCAATAACCTTCAGGATGACACAGTAACACCAGGCCCCTGCCAGTGTGGGATTTATACTATCTCCCCCCTGGCTGGGGTGGTATAGAACTTGTTACCCTTGAGCCATTCCAAAGATATGAAGAAATTTGTAAATCTCAACTTTTCTTTTTCCCTAACGCTCTTCCAATTCCACAGCTTGTTATGGCTGCTTCTCTCATATCACTCAGAGGCCGACCCCAAGGGAAAAGATATTTTACTCCCTGTACTTTTCTCCTTTATGGTCTTAAGAAATTTGGAAAATTTTCCAAATTTTGGAAATTTGGAAAGGGGATAAGAAACAAAATAATCATAGAATTTGAATGAGAGGAAGAATCAAATGAAGACCAGGTCTCTAAAGATAAATGGTATCTCTTCTTTATTCTAATAACAGACCACTTGGCTAGAGCTGTCAAGTAAGTCAAGGACTCCTGTAGCTTTTTATTTCAACTTAATGGAATGCTGGGTACAAGGATGAACAGCAGTAGGAGAAACTTCCTGTAAAGAGGCTTCTAATCTACACTATGCTATTCAGGAGCCAACTTCTAAGTTTACTCTACTCCTAGCTAACAAAATGAGGCAGGGTCTCCTAATCACACTATCCTTATACAAAGTAAGGAATGAATGCCACTAAAGTGGGATGTGTGAACTCATGGGAGCAGCCTCAAGGGCAGTTCTCAGTGCCTGTAAAACATATTCCTAGTTAGAAGCTTCAGTTTCACCTCTAATTTGAAAAAGAGAGGTGGGAGAGACCAAGTTCATAATGAATTTCTCCCGACAAAAATCGGGCAGGGTTTGGAAAAGTGAGAAAGAAAATCTGTGACGCTCTGTTCTTCAACATATACACAGGGCCAACAGCCCAAGATCACGTTTATAATATTGAGGGTTCTCCTCCAACTTACGTTAGGAGTGACTTTATATTAAAGTGGTCATCATAATGAAGGAAAAACCAGTAATGTCATGATCAATTCTAAAATTGAAATGGAGTCTTTTTTATTTCTCCAAAGCCCCTGTTTTTTAATATTCAAGATTCAGTCTGCATGATTTAATAAACTTCTGTATGCAAACAGAATGATTAAAACAATTACACCAGTGTAGGAAACATTAGGTAGAATACTTTTTTTCTCAATTTACCTATGTCATCTCTGGTTAAGGGATGTAGGGTTGCCATCTTTTTATATATTACTAATTCAGGCAGATGGCAAGAACCACCTCACATTCTTTTCTTTTCTTTTTTTAAACTGGGAATTGAATCCAGAGGCACTAAGTTATATCCCCAGACCTTTAAAAAAATTATTTCTTAAGACAAGGTCTTGCTAAATTTGCTCAGGTTGGCCTTAAACTTGTAATCTCCCCTGCTTCAATCTTCAAAGTGGTTGGGATTATAGACTTGGCTAAAATCACCTCATATTCTTAAAGGTAATGTCAAACTGAAAACTTTTAACCAGACACTATTTCATCTTTAGCATATAGCAAGTAAATAGTATGACTTTTTTCTTAAATAGGAGCCAATATGAAAAATATATATTCTAAAATTATTATGGCAATTAGTGTGTAAAATGGACAAATGTCCTGAGCTCCAAACCTGATCTTTTGAACCCGAAGCAAACATTCTTTCATTTATGATATTAATATGGGAGAACAAATCCTAAATATTCAGCAAACCTATAGACTAATCACTGAAAAATGTGGAAAAAAAATATTTTACATACACATTACATATATTTGGAGTGTCATTTTATTATTTTGACAGAAATGGCATAATGCTACCATGTTTCTGACACTGACATTCCTGAGTAGATATTTCTCCTTTCTTTTTATAGTTTTGAGATAAACGTTTTAATACAGACATTCTCCAAATATAACTTATCCAACTGGATCAAAACTGAGCCAAGTCCATGTTATGAATACACACTCAAAACAACCACTAAGCAAATGCTACCCAAGGCTGGAAACACAGCTCTATGGCATGGTCACAGCACCTCCAAGAGACTCCTCTTGCCAGATATACATATATACTGTTCAAAAAGGAATGTCCCACAAGAGAGGTCAGCGGTGAACACTAAGTCTACTCAGGGCAAAAGGATGGTCCAAGTGGCTTCTGACAGGTGTCTTAAGATAACCAATTAGGAATGACTTACCTGTGAGGTATCCTGCTGTTTGTGAGTCAGAAATGAACAAATCATGTTTCTGATCTTTGAAGGCACTCCAGACTGAAGAGCGAGACAGGATTTCATTCACCTAGAGAAGTGAAGCAAATACTTTTGACATAAACGAATTAAGAACTCCATGTTCAAAGACTGAATTAAAAAAAAAAGACTGAATTAAAGAGAAAAATCAACTTCTAAAACAATCAAGAAGAGGGGTAGTGAGAACCACTCAAAGATGGAGCAAGAACAAGCATTCATGAAACACTTTATACCAGACACTGGCTGGGTACATCTCATTAACCAGATTCAAAGTGCCTGAATTGGCTCTTTTACAGCTGGAGTCTTCATATTTGAACCTGAAATTTACTGACTTCTATATAATTTGGGCAGGAAGGTTCCTAAAAAAGTATTTTCTTATGATGGTAACAGATGACAGACAGTATGGTATGGGCTGATGAACTTTTCCTGAGGAAGGGTTTGAGGAGAGCATTCTGCAAATTGGAGCTAAAACTTTAAAGCAGTCTTTTAAATTATGGGTTGTGACCTGTTGGGGGATAATGAAATCCATTAAAAGGGGAGTAAACAGCATACTTGAGAAAATAGGTGAATACAGAGAAGTATAAGAGTATCATGAATAAATGGGTAGATAGATGTGAATAAAACAGTGTGTCACACACACTATATATATATTCTGGACTAAGATAAAAGATTTTTTGCGACAAAAAATATTTAGGAAATACCTCTTAGAAGTCTTTTCCACATAAGAGGTATTATATTTATATTTCCACTACTTATGTGGTACGAACAGTGAACACAGTGAACACAATGAGCAAGACAGCCTCTGTCTCTGAAGTCAGATAGAAAGCTCACAGTCTAGTAGTGGGTACAGACAGTGCCAGATAGTTTAGCAATATGAATTAAAGTAGTTATGTACATGGTGACCATGTGAGTCCAAGAGAGGACACCAGTCCAACCTTGGAAAGAAGCAAAAGAGGAAGCAATTAACTGTGAAGGTGAGAGAGGAGCTCCTATTTTGGACAGTAACATAACTTCACCTCCGCTCCCATGGAAGTGAATAGTGGGAATTGACAATTCCTAAAACCAAAAGTTAATTTTAACCAATACTAAATGCTGAATATTCTTTGCATTTTTCTTCTGAAAACACACCATTGCTATGCAGAAAAGGAATGCTCCTGAGTGACTGCTGAGTGTATGGTTTATGCTTTTTCATTGTTTATGAGGCAGTTATGGAAGTCCATCATTGGTCTTTGGCTCTTATGCAGTTGCAGACGTGAGTGGATGTGAACACAGAAGTACAGGTTACCCACAGCCAAGACCCTACAACAAGAATACCTTGTTGTAATCAGCAGATCACACTGCTGCTTGTAGACTCACCTGTTCTCCATACTGCAGGCTTCGAGTCATGGCTTTGAGTGCTTTAACAATCTGGGCCTTGGTGGCAGCGGGGCTGTCCAAATTTTCAAGTCCTATGCCTTCGAGTAATTTTAAGAGGTATGGGACCAAATCTGCTTTCAGGGCCTAGAAGGCATATGAAGCATCTATAACCATACTGGAAAACATAAATCAGCAACCTGTTTTCACAGTGTTTTAATACCAGATACAGTTTCTTGTTTTAGTAGTTAATAACATTCTTATTTAATAAGATTTTATTCTATTGTCAACTGTTCTAAATGCTATAAATCAATTATTTAATCTTCCTAACATCTAATGAATTAGGTGCTATTATTATTACAAATGGAAAAAAATCAATGCACAGAAGGTAAAAAAGCATGTTCACAATCAAAGAACTGGGCAGTAATGAAATCTGCATTTGGACCCAAGAAGCAAAGAACTTGAGCTTTTAGCCACTAGGGAGCCTGCTTTAATAATACTACACTAATGGGCAACAATCTCTGAAATGCCTTAATATTTTCCCATATTATCTTAAAACATAAATCTTTACAATCACCAGTTCCTATCAGTCTAATAAAAGCTAAATAATAATGTGGTATCAGAAGCTGGGGTTATACCTCAGTGGTACAGCACTTGACTAGCATGCATGAGACACTGGGTTCAATCCTCAGCACCACATGAAAACAGATAAAATAAAGGTATTGTGTTCATTTATAACTAAAAATATTTTTAAAATTAAAAAAATAATAATATGGTATCAATCTTCATTAAAAATCAAAAGGAAGAGGTGGAAATAACTGACATTTAGTGAGTGTACCTCTTTTTTTCATAACTTGTGAGGCAGTCATAAATTTATAACTTTATTTCAGATGATAAATCCGAGTGTAAGGTTAAAAATCATATCTAAGGTCACAGAGCCATCAAGTGGTAGTACTAGCTCATGTTTTTCCTCATCTGGTAAACTCCTGAGCCAACACTAAGTTTGAACTTCATAGCATTCACTATCTCTTTCAGATGTACCCAGTATCTTGACTAGCCTAAAGGGTGGGCCTGAATTGAGGTTGTGGGGTGGAGATAGATACAGCAAGAAAGGGGACCAGGAGAATAGGAGGTCACTGTCTTCAGACTAAGAATGCCAGAGTCACTTTGTCATGGGAAACCACTGAAGATTTTTAAAGATGAACAGTGACAGCTGGGAGTGGTGGCTAATTCCAGCAGCTTGGGAGGTTGAGGCAGGAGGATCACAAATTCAAAGCCTGGCTCAGCCATTCAGTAAGGACCTAAACAACTTAATGAGACCCTGTTGCTAAATAAAAAATATTATTAAAAGGGCTGGGGATGTAGCTCAGTGGTTTAAGCACCCCCTGGTACCAGAAAAAAAAAAAAGGAGGGGGTGCGGAATAAAAAGATAAAAGAGTAGCTTCTTTTAAGCCGGAACCACCATCTTCCAGTAATTCTCCAAAATGATGAACACAAAGGGAAAGAGGAGAGGAACCCGATATATGTTCTCTAGGCCTTTTAGAAAACATGGAGTTGTTCCTTTGGCCACGTGTACACGAATCTACAAGAAGGGTGATATTGTAGATATCAAGGGAATGGGTACTGTTCAAAAAGGAATGTCCCACAAATGTTATCATGGCAACACTGGGAGAGTCTACAATGTTACCCAGCATGCTGTTGGCATTGTTGTGAATAAGCAAGGGCAAGATTCTTGCCAAGAGAATTAATGTGCGCATTGACCATATTAAGCACTCTAAGAGCCGAGACAGCTTCCTGAATCATGTGAAGGAAAAAGATCTGAAAAAGAAGGAAGCCAAAGAGAAAAGTACCTGAGTTCAGCTGAAGTGCCAGCCTGCCCCACACAGAGAAGCACATTTTGTGAGAACAAATGGAAAGGAGCCTGAACTGCTGGAACCTATTCCCTATGAATTCATGGCATAATAAATGTAAAATAAATAAATAAATAAAGGCCCGTGGACTATTAAAAAAAAAAAAAGAGTGACTGAGTTATATTTTATTACTTTTTAATTTTTGTTGTATGTATTTATGGAATACAAAGTGATGTTATGATATATGTATACAATTTGGATTGTGTAATCAGCATATCTGTTGCTTCAAAAATTTATTTCTTATGGTGAGAACAATTTACTCTTAGCAATTTTGAAAAATACATTAAACTACAGTCACAATTCTGTGCAATAGATCTTTAAGTTATTACTCCTAACTGAAACTTTATACCATTAACATATCCCCATTCTTCCCACCCTCCAGTTTCTGGTAACTACCATTCTGTGCTCTCCTTCCATGAATTTGATTGTTTTAGATTCCATTCATTGGTGAAATTATGCAGTACGTGTTCTTAAGAGCTATACTTAAAAAAAAAAAAAAGCTATACTTTTGTGATTTTAAAAAATCACTTTGCACTGGTTGTTGAAATTTATGATGTGCTTTTTCTGTCTTTAGTGCCTATCTACTCAACATTGATAACCTACCAAGTCCTATTTCACTAGGTAAAAAGTCCTTTTGAAAAGGACAATAAAAGTCTTGGCATGATTCTACAATATGACTTAAGAAACAAAGGAATGAATAAATCTTTCCAAAGAGGATAAAGCAATGTTTTTTTCTTTTTTATTTGTTCTTTAAAAATATACATGACAATAAGACTATATTCTGATACATACATGTTCTAATGAGGATCCCACTGTGATGTGGAGTTCCACTGTGGTATATTCATATATGAACATAAGAAAGTTATGTCTGTTTCACTCCACTGTCTTTCTATTCCTGTTCCGCCTCCCTCCCTTCATTCCCCTTTTGTGTAGTCCACTGAACTTCTATTCCACTCCCCACTTAGCTTCCATGTAAAGAGAGAACATTTGACCAGATAAGGCAAATTTTGTGAAGAAAACTAAGGATAAATGCACAATAAGTGGCCAAAATTTTGAAGCTGGTAAGACTTCTAGCACCTAGCACCACTTTTCTGTGTATGTGTGTGTATGTGCGCGCACACACATACACATAACTGAATATGAAATATACACTTGTGCACGCACAAATTCATAAGTTACCTCCATCAAACCTTAGCCAGGGAATATTTGTCTACTACATTTGTTTTCCTAAAATAGTGCTGAATCTAGAAAGTCACTTACTTGTGCTACCAATTCACCCTGCTCCTTCTGAAACATTCGATTAATTGCTTCACAGGCTAGACCAACAGTATCTGCTCGCTTTTTCATTCCATTCATCAGTGGGCCAATGGTTTCTAAGGATGCCATGGCTCGAACACACAGCTAAGTCCCCAAAAGAGAAGGTTACTTGTAGTAAAGAAACATTTTTATAAAGCACAGTGGATACCAAGGTAACAAAATAATTTTTAAAACAACTACTTTCAAGTTTAATAATAAACTGAGTCAAATTCCATCTCCTGTTAATTATACCATTTAACTGGCTTAAGAATCAATAAAATACCATGCAGTTCCTTTTAGAAAGAGGGTGTACACTTTAGTGTGCATTCGTCTAGAAGAGGAATCACATAAAATTCTAGAGCTATAATCTAAAGAATAAATTCATAAATACCTCATTTTCGGACAGGGCATGGATAACTCGAATGGCACTCTTAGGAATGGCATTGTTCCTGTGATTCATTGCCTGGATAACTTTGGGAAGGTGGCCCAGTGGTGGGACTTGATCTGCCAGCTGAGGTTGTGCACTGAAGAGACATACTGTTGCCATTGTCAAAGTTTCCAGAGTTTCTCCCTGGAAAGTGTAAAAGAAACAGCCAATCAAAATAATTAAAATACTGAAAAAGTCCTCAATATACCTGGCAATTTATTTGGTGTTCAAAACTAGGGATTCAAAAGTTCTAAGTGCTAACATAATGCTTCATAAAACCTTAGTGAAAACAAACTTTCCATTTTCTTTGACAAAGGCAGGCATACAAAGGACTTAAGAATTATTGTCTAAATAGTCTTTCAGCAGGCCTGACGTAGCTCAGTTCTATTGCAGGTATAATAATAGATCATTTCCCAAAAGATGATACTAGAAATTTCTAGATGATGTTACAGACCTGTCAATGTTAGACAACATCAATAATCACTGAGAATATAGATTAGTAAAACACTATGCTCAGTTCTATTAAAAATCTTATTACAGGTTGAAGATCCTTTTATTTGAAATGCTTCAGACCAGAAGTATTTCCGATTTTGGACTTTTTTTTATATCGAGTTTATCAGCTGAACGTTCCTAGTCAAAAAATCCAAAATGTTTAATGCTCTGAAATTCAAAACTTTTAGCACTGCTGTGGTTCTCAAAAAGTTTGATTTTGGATCATTTCAAATTTTGCATTTTCAGATGAAGAATGCTCAACCTACATTTAACATTACCTGAGGGCTATAATGAACTTTGTACTATAGATAATAGATTGTACATATATATATATCCATAACAAAACACTTTTTAAATGAACACAAAAATTGGGATGTGCCCAAAAAGAAAGGTGACATATGATGAAATTTCTACTTGCTTTTCCTTGCTAAGATTCACTTTTTGAGAATTCTCTTGTGTTCCCCTGCTTTTTTTTTGGTGCTGGGGATTGAACCCGGGGCCTCTAAGCAAACCCCCCCATCTGTGAGGATTTCATTTTATAAGAAAACTAAGTATGTATTAGAATTTATTAGTAAAGGGAAATATGACTATGGAATGTGACACTAATAAATATTTGGCATACTAATTCTATTTTTTAAACTAAGGATAAACTAAGGATAGTAACTAACAATTTCTAAGCAGTTGAAATGTGGCAGATATGTTAGGTATTCCACACACATTAACTTATTAAAACCTCAGCCAAAGGTAGATGCAGTCTTCATTCTATGAGGCAGCTGAGGCTGAATCATGAGGCCAGCTAGTTACTGATGAAGCTGGGCTTGGATGATCCAGGACCACCTAATACAGCTCAGACTTTTTTTTTTTTGGTAACAGGGATTGAACTCAGAGACAATTGACCACTGAACCACATGTCCAGCTCTATTTTGTATTTTATTTAGAAACAGGGTCTTACTGAGTTGCTTAGCGCCTTGCTTTTTGCTGAGGCTGGCTTTGAACTCACAATTCTCCTGTCTCAGCCTCCCAAGCCCCTGGGATTATAGGCGTATACCACTGTGTCCGGTCAGCTTAGGCTGTTTAATCAACCACCATCTATTTCTAGATTTCAACATAAATGTTCATATAACAAAATGTTAGACACTATCAGGGTTTCTGACCTGTCAAACCAAGATCAAAGCTACCTTCTGCTTTCCAGAAAGTCTCTGGTTTTGAGCACAGGTACATGGTTCATTCACGTGGTTACTATTCTGTCAATATCTGTGACTAGGGTCATCCCTGCCATATACACAAAGTGCACTAAAGAACATGAATACACTTTCAGAGAAACACCAGACATTTAGGTTTTTGATCAGTTATATAGTCACTGGAAATGGTGTGGCAAAAATATTCTTTTAGAGTTTTTATAATTGTTAGAAATAGCAATTCAATACAGACATCTCTAACTTTTATCTATAAATAACCATGGTATTAGAGCTTCACTATCAAAAATCACACACACACACACAAAATCAATGGACATATCTAAATTTACATGTGGTTACTATGTTGAAAGAGGTAGCCCACTATTAATGCATGGTCAGTGAAGACAAGGTTTTATGAGAAAAAAATTAGTATGTTTAGCAAATTCTGATATATTTTCCTGATGACTGAAGCTTACATGAGGACTGTTCTTCTCCAGGAGCTCAGTTAATTTTTCTAATAGTGCAATCAGAAATTCTCTAGGCTTTCTGAGAACCCATGCTGGTTGTGCAATAAAAATTCTCAAGAAAACTCCTCCAACAGCAAGTTCACCCTCTGCTTCTCCAAACACCACAGCAAAATCTTCAGGCAACTTTAAACAGAAAAAGAATTTCAGTCAGGTCACTTAATTATTTAGTTGTACATGAAGCAGGAAATGCAAGTCCAATTAAAGAATTCTACATACAATGAACTAGTTGATAAATAGGCATTTATATAATCAAATTATAATAATTTTAAGTTTTATTTTCTCTTAAATGCATAGGATGTTTTATTAGCTACTTCAAAAGAAAGTATTCCTACTTTTATGTTTGAAGACTTATTTTTTCCAGGGGTGTACCTCAGGGTCTTATGACAGAGCTACAGGCTGACTTTAAACTAACTCAGGAGTAATTCAAAATAACAACAACAAAAAACCCCTATAAGATAAAAGTATATGTTACCTTCCAGTTAACATCAGGGTTGTCCCGCTGATTTTTAAAGTGCCTTGAGAAAAAAAAAAAAGGAGGAAAGGAATACCAAACTTTAGTCACAACATAACACTTACATTGACCTTTGGAGCGAGTCTTAGGAGAGAGGCAGAGTGGGAAACGATTGCCCTTCCTGGGGATTTTATTTGAAGGCTTCAAGTTATTATCTTTGTCTTTACTTACTCTAGCATCATCTCTCTCACTGTTGTAGACACTTTATCTCTGGAACTGTCATTCCAAATCAACTCAGGATTTTCGTGAGTTCCTTCAAAAATGTGAACAGCAGCTTCAGGGTTGTCTCTCATAGCATCCATGAAAACGCTAGGCAGAAATTTCATTAATGTAATTCGAACCTATGGGAGGAGGTTTGAGAAAGAAATCAAGAACTGTTGGAAACGCCTCAATATTCAGCTTGCTTTTTACAATTTTCTGAGAATATTAGAGCAATTTTTGCTATGGCTGATATAAGAAATAACTATTATCTAAAAATTCTGGAGTGGGAGAAAAACCTTAGTTTATGCAAAGGTAACTTTAACAAGACTATGACTTGGCCCTACTTACCTATCAAAGCTTTATTTCCATTATCTAACTCAAAAAACTTAAGAAATTCAGAGTGTAGAATTTCCAGAGTCTCCCCTGTGGTGTCATGCATGTGCTATAAACCTCTTTTGAGAATGCACTTAGCTCATCTGTCCGACTCTTCCTCACACCCTTTGCCCTCAGAAACTATAGTTTTTCTCATGCTAACGCTACCGTTTTATGTTATAATAAGCCTTCTTCCAAAAAGAATTCTAAAAGTAGCTTAAAAAAAATTCATCCAACAAATGCTATGCACAGATTGAAAATTACTGAGGCATAAGGACAAAGGGAAAAGAGTATCTTCCTTTACCATCACATGGTTCTCGCTCCATGTCACACTACTCTCAGCGCTCATCTTAGGGAAACCTTCCTGACCTGGTCTGCTTTGCTCATTAATTATTTTCTAAGCTTCTCGTATTTGGCAAATGCTTACATTATTTGAAAGAATAAAGACCAATATGAAGTTAGCATGCAAAAGAAACACCAGAAGCTATGAGTAACTGGTAGTGATATCTACCACAAATTTAGCTCTGAACTTCTAGCTCCCAAGGAACGGAAATAAACTATGTTGATTACGTGACAGAGGGCATACACAAAATAAAATCAAGCCAGCTGCTCCACAGACACCTAACTATTCTGGAGGAGGAGAAGAAATTTCTCAAGGCTCCCACAAGAGGGCATTTGTTTTATATCAAATAATATCATCAGGATAAAATTAGCCAGTTTCACAGGCTTATTTCATATATATATATTTTCTCTTAAGTATGCTGAGACCATCATGCCAAAATACAATTCAGCTCTATAGAGAACAAAAGCAGGTATAGACAGTGATTATATCACTCTTCATCAAGAGTCTCCTGAGTAAGAACCCTGCCTGAACTGCAGTAAATAAGTAACACATTCTCACAAAGCTCTGAGAAATATATACCAAAGAAGCACTAAGAGTTGAAGTAGGATTTAAAGGCCATTTATTTTAAATTTTTCACTATGAAGTTAAAAGAAATTTAGGTTTGGAGAGAAGACATCCAGAGTCATTAAGTCAAGTTAGCAGCTTCAGGATTGTGATAAACAAGTTCTGCTCACAATGCCACGCTGCCAACTTGAAGGTCAATCACTTCATCTCTTACACAATCACTTCTTGTTTCTAAACAAAACTGTCTTCTGGAAAGATACCTGGATATTTAATTAGAAACCCACTGTTAGGCAACACTGACAACCCGAACAGAACACTGTTTTCATCAAAATTTAAAACTTCACTGCTTCAAGGGACATGATCAAGAATATGAAAAAAATTATCAAAAGAATGAAAAAAAAAACATGTACAAATAATAGAAATTAGTATCAAAAAACACAAAGAACAATTACAACTCAACAATTAAAACAATCCAATTTAAAAACTAGTCAAGGATATGAAGAGACATTTCTCTAAGAAAGTTGAAACCACATTGAATGTTTCATTGTTCCACCCCTCCCCGCTTTTTGAGATTGGGTCTTATTATGTTGCCCAGATTTGACTTTGAATTCCTGGGTTTCTCCTGTCATCCTCCTGCCTCAGCCTCCCGAGTAGCTTAGGACAGTAAACTAAAATAAGCCAATTTAAAAACTAGTCAAGGATATGAAGAGACATTTCTCTAAGAAAGTTGTATTAACTGCTAATAAATACATGAAAAGATACTCAGCATCATTAACCAGGGAAATGTGAATCAAAACCATAAGATACTGCTTTCACACCTACTAGGATGGCTATAATAATAATAATAATAATAAAACATATAACATGTGTTAGGGAAGATAAAGAGATATTATAATGCTGGTATGTAAAGCCAGTGTAACCACTTGAAAACACTTATGATTCAAAATGTTATATCTAGTATTACTATCTGACCCCAAAATTCCATTTCAAAACAAAAGCCAATGCTCACACAAACTTGTACACAAGTGTTCACAATAGTATTATTCAGACAGCAAAAAAATTCACATGTTCATTGAGATAAATAGGTAAACAAATTGTGGAATATTGTTTGGCAATAAAAAGGAATAGGTGAATCTTCACAACATTATGCTAATTGATAGGAATCAGTCACAAAAGACTATATTATAGGATTCCATTTATACGTAACTCTACAATTTATAAAGAAAGTTTAGTGCATAGTAGTTCCTGGGAGAAAGTGGACAGGAGAGTGACTGCTAAAGGGCATGAGGCTTCTTTTGTATTGATAAAAATGGTCAAAAAATTGATTATAGTTGCTCAATCCATAAATATACTAAAAATCACTGAACTGTATTGTATGTCAATCATATCTCAATAAAGCTGTTATAAAAATTAAAAAGTTTACTGACCCAGCCGTCTCTTGCTGCAAATCATTGAATTAAGGTGCTGATTTTCCCTATATAGAAAATTTAAATGTAAAGACATTCACCTTGATAATATTTGTCCCACATGTATATCAAAGGCCAAAAATATTACTGGAGAGCTCAATTTCAGTACATAGTTATTTTAAACATCTAACACACTATTTAAAATATCTAATACTAGGCATTGTAGTTATGTGCTACCCAACTCTTGACTTAAGAAAACTCAATACTAAATATCAATATTTATACATTAATTCTTTTTTGGGTAGGGGCGGTTGTACTGGGATTGAACTCAGGAATGTTTTACCACTGAGCTACATCTCCAGCTCTTTATTTTTATTCTGAGACAGGGTCTTACTAAGTTGTTGAGGCTGGCCTCAAACTTGCAATTCTCCTGCCTCAATCTTCCAAGCTGCTGGGATTACAGGTGTAAGACACCACGCCTGACTCAATATTCATTTTTTTATGGACTCTTTTGTAGACATCCAAAGGTAATTCCCTCATCTCATCAACCTTGCTAAAGGCAGACTATTATTAACACTATAGTAAAACTATTTTGGGTCCTATGACAGATTCTTAACATCTAGACTGAGAGATCAAGCAAGAAAACAACAGCGACAACTGAGTCTAATTTGTTGTACTGATGTAAAAATGTTCATTAGCTTTGAACAACTTTTTTTTCAAACTAAACTTTTCATGGAGGCTCAACACATATGAGGGAGGCCACTGTGGCTTTAGATGGAAGTAGGTAACCTGTAGACTCTTCCTTATCCTAGGTACCTTGGCAGATATGTTGGAGCTGTGATTCTCAAATATTAGTCCAGACAGGTTCCAAAAGAATAACTTGGGAAATGGACTAAGAAAGCAAATTCTGGGGCCCTGCCCCTGACTTCCTGAATCAGACTTTGGTAGTAGGGCATAGAAGTTTTTTTTGTAGCTCTCCCATGCCTCTGATGTGTTGCTCAGTGGGCTTGGCACTATGAGCCCTATCTCTTGTGAAACTGATCTAATAATAGAATTAGGGAACTTTGATTACATTTGTGTCTGAATAAAATTCTACTCGGAAGTAAATTCCTTCTCTTCAAATTGAACCATGGCTCCAGATATCATATGGTCACCTCCAGTTTTGGATTAAAAAGTCTCCCTGCACACCAGGAAAGCAGAGGAGTCACTATACTCCTGTCCCCAGACAGCCTCACTTCCTGTGGGTTGCATAACCTTACTAATTCAGGAGTGGAATGTAAAAGATACAGATTACCAGTGTCTCACTAGCTACCTCTATGAGCCAATCCTTGCAGAGTGAAGTCTAACCTGCCTTCTTTCATAACCTAAATGTACTTCCGTTCTCTCTTTGAGAAAGATGAACAGTTATCATCATAATCCACATATTCTCTTCAAACATTTCAATTCTGGTACAACTTCCCTGACTAGTTTTCTCAATTAGTAACATACAGCAACAATTTCAGGAATTTTGTTCAACTTTCACATCATTTTCTTATCTTCACCATCTCAGATTGGTGAATTTCATGAAATCAGTATCAAAGTAACAGGGTTTTATTAATTAATTTCCTTCTGAGAACTTATTTTATACTCACCTTTGGACCTATCAGTTTATCTGCTGTCATTTTGGCAAAAAGTTCTGCTGTTTGGGTTCGAACCTGTGGATGTGTTGAGTTACAGAACATATCCAATAAATAAATCAAAGCTCCTAAGAAGGAAAAAAGAGAATCAGTGCTTATATTATTTTCAATTAGTAGAATTCATTTTCAACCTTATTTCAACTCAGTGCTGTTTGATGTTTTTTAAACTTTAAGGGTCTCCAAAGCATTCTTCTAATTTATCAGACTGCACAAAAAGCAACTCAAGATATGCTTCATAGTGCTGAATAAGACTGGATGAAAAATAACTCTATACATTACCCTTTGCCATTGCTTCTTTGATTATTTTTGTACTTGATGCCAAAGCATAAAGAGTTTCCAGAACAAGCTGACGACCTGCAGAGTAAAAGACATTTCAAGGAACGTATCGATCTTACATTTACTAGACATTGACTCTATACCAAACATTAACTAGGTATTCCAGATATGGAATCATACCTCATCTTCACAATAACCAGCAAGGCTGTGTTATGATAAGGAGCCCAGTATAACCAGCCCATTATTTCACACTTAGTGAGCTCTATGGCTGGGTTTTCTGTCTACATCTCTCTGCTCCAAAGTCCACACTCATAACTACTATGGCATAATGTTTTCCTATCTAAATATTAATGGCAAACACATCCAGAGGACACTGTACCAGGCATCTCAGATTTTTACATGATACTACTATCTCAGGAAAATAAGGAAGTAATCACTGTAAGACAGAGCTCTACTCTAAGACATAATAATTTCCTCTGGACACAGTTCATCTCTCACCTACTCATTGCCTTTTGATGTGCAAGTATACTGGGCTACTGAACTTTGCTCTTTTAGAATCAAATGGGACAGACAAAAAGCCAAAGGAATAAAGTGTTATCAAAGAGCGTAGAGACTGTCAAGTACTGGGCTGAGTCTAAAACAACACAATAATAACAATGTCCATTAGCAAACACTGTATAAGGTAGATAGTTTAGTCTAGATTATGTGTAAGTGATGGCAAAGTTTTCGAAAATATCTAGAAGTCAGCTACTTGTAAGATTAAAATGTTGACAATGAATCAGGTAAAAGTTATACTTTAAAACTATGGTTTCTGTTTTACATTCTTTACCAACCAGTTTAGTTTTGTATTGTTTAAAGCCTTACAAAATTATTGAAAACCAATAAAAACAGAAAAAGAAAAAAACAACTAAGGTTGTAGGTATAATAAAAAGAATCTGCAAATTATTTCTCCAGGTTGTCATTTTGAACAGATAATTCAAGCAAGTCATTTATTTAAAAAAAAAAATTACTCAATGAAATTTCAACTCCACTCAATTCACTGAACATAAAGAAACACTGAATACATGCCAAGCAATGGGATGATCAAAGAGATAGGGTCCTATTCTCAAGGTGAATAGACATAAAATTAAGATTAACATGACATCCAAGGGTTTAGCAAAGTCACCTGTGCAATGTATTCTATGGTTTGTGGTGAGGGTGGATTTAAACTGCAATTGCCTGATACACTAAACATCTTGTTTTTGAAAAGCAATCTCAATGCTGGCTCTGGCACAACTACAAAACTATTATACTTGTTAACTATAGAGTTTCTGAGCAACCTGCATCAACACCGGCTGTATTCAAGAAATTAGGTTGGTAAATTTTTATTCTTTGTGGAAATAATCTCTTGTCAATAGACACAAAGTAGGGAAGACAATGCTAAGTTTAATACAAGGTAAACTTTATCTTAAGAATGTTTTCTAGCACCTAAGACTGTCTTTAAAAAAAAAAACCACAGAATACTAGTTAATTCTCAATTATTCATGTACAATTACTCATGAAAAAAACCTGACAATCAATCCCAGGTTATTTTCCTTTGCTTTTCCTCTCTCACCTCCAACTTTCAACCTTCAATATGGAAAGTTGAGATAATTTTGTTAATTTATGTAAAATACAATTAGGAAGACAAATCTAGTATAAATAATCCCACTGTAAATATTCCAAAACTAAAGATGGATGATATTTGCCCGAGGTTTTGTAACTGTTTTATAACTGTTCCCCTCCCTTGGTAGGTCCTTCTATGGTTTCCAAAATGCCATTTGTGAATATACCTACTTGATGGCAATGAATGTAGAAGAGCCAGTAAATTGGATAAAACCACTGATTCTGCAATATTGTTGACACAATCTTGGTTAGATGTCACTATATTCACAACCTGAAAATTAATCAACAGGACATAAAAAGGTTTGGAGATAATTTCAAACCTAATAAAATTCAGTAATATAGACTTAATAGAAGCAACAAAATGTTTGGAACACAAAATATTTAATTATTAGAGAAATTTTTAATTTTAAAAGATTGGTCTTATTACTTTGAGACTTATCTTTTGATAAGGTTATCTTATCTTTTGATAACCTTAAGGTTCATGAAAAACTTTAATCCTATACAGAACATGCTCCTTTAGCCTGGGGTCTAGAGGAAGGGATGGGATTTAAAACATGAAAACAAAGAAAAAATATGACTATGGCATACAGTGTAGTGTTTTCCAATCACAGATTTGGGGTACGCAGTTAAAAGATAATAATCTTCACTTCTGGGACTTTCTTTTGCTCATAGAGGAAGAAAGTTAATGTCTTTAGCACTCCACACAACAGATTAGATCTCTTTCTATGTAATAAAATAGGATGTTTTTCTTTAAAAGAGGAGGTTATAGTTTAGATATGAGGTGCCTCCCAAAAGCTTATATGTAAGACAATGTAAGACTTTTAAGAGGTGAAATGATTATTATGAGGTATAATCTGATAAGGGGATTGACCCACTGATGTGGATTAACTGAGCAGTAACTACAGGCTGTGGCTGGAAGATGATGATCACTTGGAGCATGACTTTGGGGTTTTTATTTTGTTACTGGTGAATAGAGCTCGCTCTTTGCTTCTTGACCACCATGAAGTGAGGTGCTTTCCTCCTCTGGGCTCTTCTGCCATTATGTGGGGCCTCATCCTGGGCCCAGAGCACTGGAGTTGGCTCTCTATAGACTGAGACCTCTGAAATGATGAGTCCTAAATAAACTTTCCTTCCTCTTAAGTTGTTCTTGTCTGGTATTTTGGTCAGAGTGAAACAAAAGCTGACTTAAAACAAAGAATAATTTTTCAATTCTGACTTTTACAATACATGTCTAAAGATCAATGCCACTTGGACCATGTTCAGAATCAAAGCAAAGTAGTCTAGATTAATAATGTTACTATTATATCAATATTAGTAGTCTATTAAGAATCTGTTTTAAGCCGAAAGATAATCTAAGTGATTTATTCATAAACCACTTCTTTACCTGATACTATAGGGTTGAATTTGGTGTTCTTTGTAATAAATTATGTGCATTACAATGAACAGGATTATCTGAAAAATGATCCTGGGAGCTTACCCTAGGGTGCCTGGACAAAGAACACCTGTAACCAGGGACTTTCTGCTTCTGTCAGAGGAAAAGTAGCACCCAAGTAGCATCTCATAGGACCAGTGGTTTCAATCTCCTGAAGAAGGGACCTCCAACTTCTCCTGAACCCTTAAGACCCACAAATTTTGGCAGCTGGCTTTCCTAGATAACACCTATTAACAGCAGTATACCCAGGTGTCTATTTGTAATTCTCATCAAAAAGGTTACCTTGCTACTAGATTTGAAGGGAGAGTACAGGTGAGTTCTCTGGAATGAAAACCCACAGTGCACAGCCAAGCAGTGTCCTGGCTTCATTATCTCTCTCTGTAGAGACAGAGAAGTCAGGGAAACCTTGCCTCCCCCTCTTGCTCATCTATGGCTTCTAAGCTTCTCCAGTAAAGCCTATTCCTTCATCTTCTGACTAGGACATTTCACAGTGTACCCAAAGCCCTGATGTATGACAGATAGTGACCTAGAAAGGAAACACCTTGAAAAACATGAATAGGTAAAATTTTAAAAATGCATATTTTTATCCAACTTCAGATAATTAATTGATGCTCAAACTGTATTTAGTTAAGTGATAGGAAAAGGAACACACTTTTAGTATAGAATACTCTTACCTCTAAAGCTAATTGTTGCACTTGACCAGCTCCATGGACCCGGAGAAGAGAAAATATTAACTTAAAGTGACCAATGCACTCACTTTCAGAGCCTAGGGAGTAAACAAAATGGTTTTTATTTCCAAGATATTCTAAATTACAGACCTTTAGAAAACTGATAACACACAGTTGTTTACTGTTAATCGCAAGTCTTAAATGATCCTTTTTAACCATTATGACATGAAGTGAATGAAGTATCTCTAAGCAGCATTAAAAGGCAAAAAATAAAATATTATAGTTTCTTAATTTTTCTTTGTTTTCATATTTTAAATCCCATCCCTGCCTCTAGGCCCCAGGCTAAAGGCAAGAAGGACATTATAAGAGGCCCTAAGGATTTAGTCAGACCTTGTCTCAAAAAATAAAGAACATAAATAAAGGGCTGAGGATGTGATTCAGTGGTTAAATGACTCTGGGTTCAAATCCTGGTACCAACAACAACAACAACAAAAGATCTGGAGTGTTTAAGTATTGTATTGTTTTAGATTTTACGTTCTATATTATCACATTAAAGTTACCAAAATTAGAGTTGGAAAAAGCTTTTAGATTTTCACTCATCTATCTTTCTGGAGTCAGGCTGGAGTGCTAATACTTTTGGAAGAATCCTCTTATAGATTGATGTTTAAGAGTGGAAACTCACCTTTTTATTATTTGAATTTTTAGACACTAAAAACTTCAGGCAAGTTTTCAAAAATATAAGTGTTCACAGGAACACAGCACTATGTTAGTACTAGAAAAGAGGCAAAATTTAGATTACTGAATAAATCTAAGTACTTACACTTGCTATGCCAATTTGTGTCATCAATCTGAAATTTCATACTATCAAATTATTCTGCCTTTTCAACTCAGACTCATTTTCTCTTTAGAGAGATGAGTTCTTCTAAGCATGGTGCCTCATCTCTTTCCTTAGCTTACTATTTGTAGGTAGCAAATATTATTAGGTCAATTTCCCTTAAAATTATACCAAGTATAACATTATAATCAAGTATAATTTTCCCTGAGTTTTTATTTTTTATAAAATTGAGAATTGGAAATTTTTAGAACCCTTTGATTCGAAGGTTCTCATTAATTAAGGGTACAATCACACACCTGGATTATATTTTATGACATTTCTCAGAGCCTCCAAAGCCATTTCCACTCTTGGCAGGCGGTCTCCATGTTGCTCTGATTCCACTTTTGCAGTATGTGTGATGGCCATGAACGTGTGCAGATACTGGGCCTGAGAGCCTATGTAATCCAGGAGACTTGCAGCAAATGCTTTTGGAACCTGTCAAGCAGAGGAACATTTAAAAAATATGTGTCTTCAGAAATAACTATGACAAAGATTTCATAGCAAAAGAAAAATTCAACACATGAAAGTAAGCAAGATTATATTATAAATACACATGAATATACTTATACACTTGGGTGTTTTGTGTGTGTGGTGTGTGTGTGTGTGTGTTGGGGGGATTTGGGTGGGAAGGAAACAAACCAAACTGCAGTAGAGTGTTTCTTAACTTTCAGAGGTCTGGTAAGTTCCCAGAAGTACCTCAGTACAATAATTCTAAGTTTAGAGTACTTCTTCGCTTTATCAAAATAACTGATTGATTGATATGTAACATTTATATTTTTAAAAATTCTATATTCAGAATATAAATTCAAAGCATAGTTGGGGCACTTCACAAATCACTTAACTCATTCTGCTTAATACTAATTATACACACATACAATGAGATATTTCTGTGATAAATAATATACATTATGGTTTAGGAAATTCCTGTTTTTTTTTTTCTCAAAAGCAAATTCTAAAATAAAGTGTCACTCACTGCTTTTCCTCCTTACAAATCAATCTCAAAATCCACCTTGCTATGTCCTACAAATAAGACAAAAACAAAAATTCTAACATGATTCCCAAGCACTAAAAAGAAAAAGATCCTCCCTTGCTTCTGGAAGTAATTATAGATCATTACAAGAGATAACCCGATGAGATGAGTCATCTAAAAGATGTTTCTGCTATTAACCTATATTTTCTTTTAATAATTGGCCAGAGAGAGCCTCTTGTCTTGTGGTCTAACACTCCATATGATGGAGTGAGTGTGGAACTGGCATTGTACTTTGGGAGCTTGAGGCAGACATGCTGGGCACAGTGGGGAGTATTATGCATAAGAAATCAAGTCTTCAACAATCAGATAAAGAGGCTTATAAGTAGTCCAGGATCACTCATCAAATACTTAGTTAGGTTAATTTATAATTAATTTCGAAAAGAGAAGGTTTTATTTCAATGCATACAGCGTGAATAAGCTAGTAGTTTTCAGTCACACAATATCAAAGGCAATGGACAAAATTACAGGTAGAAAGCTTACCTCTAGTTGAAAAGTAGGGACTTCATTATACACTCTAACAAAAATCTCCCCCACAATAAGTTCTTTGGCATGATCACTGTAGACAAATTCTGATCCATAAGTTTTATCACAATCACCCTTTTAAAAAAAAGAATGTAAATCATTAACATCTAATTTCTAAATCTATCCCTATTCAGTTTCATAACAGAACAACAATTCAATAAGTCCACTCATTTTCTAGAGGAAGAATGCTGATACATATCACAGCACTCAATGCAATATTAATGTTTACACCGAACACTATGATTCTGGAATTGGAACAGAATTATAATTTTTAGTTGAAAGATTAAATGAAATCATTTAAAAATTTCAAAAGATCACAGAGATGACCAACAAAGTATCTTACAGCTAGAGTTTACAAAGCATATACAACATTTTGTTCTTCTCTCTCTATTCAGCAGACATTTGGCCTATCAAGCTATATAAGGATAAAGCTGAGAAATGAGTACTTCTGGATTGGGTGTAAGGAAGGAACACATTAAATGAAAGTGTTGGAAAACAGTTTCTGAATACTAAGGGACAGTGATATAATAGAGCTTACAAAATCAAGAATAGGTTTCATTTAAGGAAAAGAAAAAAAGAAAAGAGGAATGGGGGGAAAAAATGTTCCCATGAAGATGTAGGTTGAAATCACAAGGAAGTTAGGTCATACTAAAATAACATGTAAAAGTATAGAATAGATTATAAAGTGCTAACAAAGACAATTTATTATGAAGTGCATTCTGAAAAAAAGGCGAGATGACGTAGAAATGTGAGACTTGCTCTCACTAGCTCTGTAATTCTCAAAAACTTTATAAAAAATCCTATGTAACTATCACGGAATGAGTTTAAAAAAAAAAAAAAAGATCAACAAATTCCGGGTTATTTAGGATGTAAGAGTAATGATTGCTCTAAGAAAAACTCAGTAACTATAAATATAATGGTCTTCAAACCATCAATATCCAATCCATCTAGGGTACCTCCTTATTTTCCATGCCACTGCCTGCCCCCCAACCTCATGGTTAACTAGCTTCTTCACTGGAAGGTAGGATGGTAGGAGAAATTTTCATTTGACACTGTTAAGCAACTTGCATTTACTGGAGAAAAGAGGATCATGTGAACAATTAAAGTAAGGCCTTTGGGGACAAAATCTAATTAAATAGAAATAGTTGTATGCAAGTAGTAATATCAACAAAGTATTATTTTAAACAACAGATGCTATTCTTAAATGAGCTATAGGTGACAAAAAAACCATTGCCTTGATTAACACCCAACTGATAAACTGTGCATTTCTGGTTCATCAATACCATTACACACTTTCTGGGATTCCAAGAAATTCCAAGATTCCAAGAATAAATTACCCAAGAAATTTATAAAACAATAGCATACTTTTTTAATCATGTTTTCTTGTTGTGATTCAAGAAATTCTAGTAGCTCTGCTCTTGTAGAGTTGTTCCATATCAAATAGGGGTTTTCTGTGTTGCTGTTAAGCATCTTCAGAATCTAGGAGATAGAACATGATCATTTTTTGTAACATGACCACTTTGTAACATTACCATTAAAATAAAATGACTGAAGTTATGACTTGTTTTTAATGTCTAAAATTTCCAAATTCAGGGTTCATTAGAATAAGCAATATTACTGTGCTCCTTTGCTACTTAAACAATCAAGAAGTATCCCAGTTACTCTAACAAGTATTGCAGCTGAGAAAAAAACAAGATTGTGAAAGACCAAATTACTTATCACAGGTCTCACAACCAGTAAGTGATGAACTGGGATTCAAGTTTGAGCCTGATTTCAACATCTTTAACATTTGTTCTGCTATGGTGAAAATTCAATATTTTGTATTATAGTATTTAATAAACACACAGTAAATATTAAAAAAGAATCAAACTATACTACCTTAATATATTTGAAAACAAAATCTAAGTATTTAGGAAGCACACCATTATTTTATACTTAGCCTAAGTTGCTGAGTCTATCTTTGAACTTGTGATCCTCCTGCCTTAGTCTCCTGAGGTGTATACCACCATGCCTGGGTTGAAGTGTACCCTTATGAAGGGAAATATTTATGAGTGACAAAGTTGGTCCAGATTTTCTTAGCTATACCCTGATTCAAAGCTACATTAAGGAGTTCAGCAAACATAGATGGTGACTGCTTAGCCATCCAAGGTGTTTTCACTTTGTTTAGCTCTCCTCAATGTTTAGTGTAAATAGAGATAGACATTTTACACATCCTTACATGTCCAAATGAAAATCTTCTACATTTTACATTTACAGAGCTTTGTGTTATGACTAAGCAGAGAGGGTATAACTTCCATCTAATATAAAGTCATCTCATCCTTGTGCACGCACATGTATATAGGTACGACTTATCTATTTACTGTCTGGATTTCAACCTTAAGTGGGAATAGGCTATTGCTTAAAAGAAACAGCTAAAAACACATTTCATCCCTTGATTTCCAGTACTCTGCCCACTGTGAAACATCATTCGAAATTCACTCTCTTGTTCTGTCTCTTTGTGACTCAAGGTTGCTAAGAATTATGGTGAGATCCACAGCTGGGAAACATAGAGTTAATTTATATTTGTAGAGACTTGAACTGAAGAGCTATTATCATTATCATCAATCCAAAACAAATTAACTTTCTTGGTTGAGAGAATAAGCATGTGAAAATTTCCACATTCAGGGTTCATTAGAATAAGCAATATCACTATGTTCCTTTGCTACTTAAATGATCAAACTATTCATAAAAACTCAGGCTACTTCTGAAGCACATACCTCAGTAGCACTAATGACAGCAAGCTTTCTAGCAACGTAGGGTGTCAGCATACCAGCTAAACTCTTCCTTACAGTTGGATTTTCTGGGGTTGCTTGTTCTTCAGGCAAATATCCTCCAAGACGACTTAGAGCATGGACACTCAGTTTGGCAAGGCTGTTGGCTACTTCCTGTTATAAAAAAATTGAAACATTAAAGACGATCTGTTTTCTTACATAGGTAACATAGAAACTTCATGAAATCAAAATCATAGGGATTTTTTTTTTTTTTTTTGTGGCACTGGGGATTGAACCCAGGGCCTTGTACATGCAAGGTAAGCACTCTACCAACCGAATTATGTCCCCAGGCCCCATAGGGGACTTTTTTAAGGAGGAGAAAGCCAACAATAAAAAAGCACAAGAATGCAAACGCTGACATGATAAAGCTTTTGCATTAGAGTTTTTTATTTTTATTTTTTAATTTACAGGAAAGACCTTCAGAATCTATGTACGCATTTGTATCTATGCAATATTTACAGAATCACATTTGGAAGTATAGTGGGAGCAGGCACATGCTGACAAAAGAATATCTATAAAAATCAGACAAGTATTCAAGTGCCTGTGGGAAAGCTAGCCCCAAAAGCCTGATACATCACTGCATTTCTATTATATTAACTCAATTTTCAAGTCACAAAGTTGATTCTGAGTAATTAAGAAAAATATTAAATTGTGTCTAATATATGCTACTGCATATTCCCTTGCCTTCAAATACAAGCTGTCAAGATAAAAAGTTTGGGGGCTTAAAAAACAATAAACTTAGTTATCTTAACACATAGTTTATCACCTGGAGGCTCTGGAGAGCTGAAGTTTTGCTTTCCATTAATTTAGCACAACCTAAATGGATATGGGTTCAAATTCAATACTAAAGCAATAAAAGTTACCTGCTGGTTTGTTTCTTCACTTTTCTGAATACCACTCTCTTCTAGTGTATAGTCATAATTAAATAGATAACCAAGCAGATACCACAAAATTCCAGCCTGAAAGAGGTGTGTCTGTAGCCAGAAATCCACAGCAAAAGAACTGACACATTCTACAGCAAGAGCAGCCACCCGTGGAATACTCTAAGAATACAGAATTAAGTCACAGGTTAAAAAAATAACAAAAAAAAAACTCCCAAGAGAAATTGGTTGTGAATGTATGTCAAACTAGCTATTTTATTTTCCAAAATATTTGCCTCTGCCTGTATTTTCAACTTCCATTTAAAACAATACTATGTACAGTCTTTTAAGTCTAAAATAAAAAGTGACCTCATGATGAGATAGAGTTACCATCTTTGAGACTAGTGTCCACAGATTTGGGAATATACTTTTCCCTATTTCTAGTATTTTTAATTTTTAAAAAGTGGGCTAAGGCAACAACAGTAATTCCCCACTGGTTATCTTCATACAATGATAACATTTTGTGCAGATATAAACATTTAACTTGGTTTTATCAGAGTTTGTATTCATACTATTTCTAAGGACACCAAGTAGATAAGAGTTGAGGCGGTAGTTTCATTAAGCTCTAACTTCTACATACTTTAGTCCATGATCACCCACCTCCATCCTGTTCTATTAAACACAACTTACCCAGTTATCTAAGAAGTCCCTTTCTACTTCTCTGTCACCAACTGTATCTCCTCTCAGCCAACTTCCCTCAGCAGTTTTGGATTGGGAAGGAACCATATGCTCTCAGATGTCTACAGCCTTTCTCATTAAGCAGCGAATGAACTCTAAGTTTAGGCTTTATATGGTCCTTTATTTTTATTAGATTTATTCAGTTCGGCCTTTTCTCCCTCTCTCTGTTGGAAATTAGGTGAAACTCACTTCCTTTACATATGTCACTTGAGCCTTAGTTTTTGTGGGCCTGCTAGGAATAAAGCCCTACCTCCTTTTTTTTCTTTTTGGTACCAGGGTTTGAACTTAGAGCACTTGACCACTGAGCCACATCCCCAGCCCTATTTTGTATTTTATTTTGAAGCAGGGTCTCATCGAGTTGTTTGGTGCCTTGCTTTTGCTGAGGCTGGCTTTGAACTTGTGATCCTCCTGCCTCAGCCTCCTAAGCTGCTGGGATTAATAAACTTAGGTATCTTAAAACACAGTTTATCACTTGGAGGCTCTGGAAAGTTGAAATTTTTGCTTTCCATTAATTTAGCATCAATCTAAATGGATTTGGGTTCAAATTCAATATTAAAGAAATAAAAATCGTGTCACAGCACGGGGTCAAAGCCTTTATATATAGTATAATTTCTATGAACAATGTTTTGAGTTGCAAACTACTTGTAAATAATGCTGAGATAACAACCTAATTATAAAATCGGGGATAAGCTATTTGAAAAGAAAATTCATTATTGACTGTACCCAGAGATCATTAGGAAGTCTACCTTGCCAAAATATAGTACTCGACAGAGATCCTTGATGATGCTAGGCATTTCTGTGATCTTCTCTCGGCATTCTTCAAATTGAGCAGCCACACTATAGCACTTACTTATGTGTCCACACACCTACAGACAATAAAACAGAGCAAAAAAAGGAGAGTCACATGTGCATTCCTTATTTAAGACAGTAGAAATCAAATCAGAAGAGATTTGTGAATAATGCTTAATGGTGTATAATGATGTTCCAATATTAAACAGAACATTTCTATTCTATCATAAGTCTTTCTAATTCAGATTTCTCATAGATGCAGAAGTTGGAAAACCGTGGTTACAATGAAAAACATGGCAAAATCAACCATGGCTTGTTTCTGTACCACCAATAACCTAAGAATAGTTTTTGAATTTTCAGTGAGTTATTAAAAAACCACAAAAAAATATCTAACAGAGACTGAGTAAAGTATAAAATCTTCAAATATTTATTTACTCTCTGAACCTTTGTAAGAAAAGTTTCCTTGTCTCTAAATCAAGGTATTTTTATTCAGTTTATTTGCATGGTAGAATATTACAATTTTTACATAATACCCTTCAATAAGGAGGGAAAAACCAGTACTCAACTGTTTTAGCATAAGCAAAGGGCAACATAAAAAGAACTGTTCTACAATCATAATGAATTCTTGATGAATTTTCTGTCAAAGAATTCAACTATTGTTGAATAGCCAAATAACATGCTAGGGATGGAGGAGAGAGGTAAAGAAGGAAATTAGGGAAAGGGCAGGGGAGATACATAAAACAATAATGAAAAAAACAACAAATATTTTAAGCTGGTAATGGAGACATAGGGTTCAAAATACTCTAAGAAAGAAAAAAATTAGACCAGTACACTACAAGTGATTTAGTACAATGCTTCTTAAAGTATGATGCACAGATTAGCAGCAGTAGCAACACCACCTGGAAACTTGTTAGAAAAGCATATTCTCAGGCCTCAACCTGGAACAAGACTAGAAGCCAGAAAACTGTGTTTTAATGAGCCCTCTAATTTATTCTCATATATATCAAGGTTTGAAGCATTACTAGTATAACTTTCTTGAAGCCAGAGTTTTAGCCTTACCTGTACTGACATGTCACTTGGTTTACTAGAGCGATTCAGGACAGCTACACAACGACTGAATGCCTCCTGTAATACCTGCAGAGAAAGAAATGAGCCGTTAACTCTTCATTTTGACTTTAAATCTGAAAAGCATTTTCTAGCAGGAATAAGATAACTTTTTAGTGTTAGCTATCTGGTAACTAAATTAACATGTTAAATAAACTGTCAAGGACTCCTCAAAGTTCTGTCCCTTTTAAGAATTCCCATAAGCTACTTTGTAAGCAACAGTTCCTTTTACCAATTTTGAACACAGTATCCTCAAATTCACATTAAGAACTAAAGCTCCATTTTTACTCTTAATTTTGGTACTAGATTATAGAGAATAAATTAAAGGAGAAACCATATCAGCTGCATTTGTACTGGGTGAATTCTCTTTGTCATGCGTCATTTAATTTTCCTTAACTAGCTTAAAGATAAGCCCAAAGATTATTCATATTACCTCTATCCCATTCTCCCTTCTGAGCTCTTCAGCATTGAGGGCTGAACAGTTGACAGTGTGAAAAGCTAGCTCTGCAGCTGCAGGCAATAATGGTGATTCTTTCGAGAAAAGGAAGTCATCTGAAGTTTCCATTGTTATAGTTCTAATTAGCATGGGGTACCCTGCATATTTATAAGGCTGTAAATCTGAAATAACCAAAAGTTAGTACTGGGAAAATAAAAAACACAACAAAAACTGATCATGCAATTGTTTTAAGTTGATGCTGACACCATGTTCAATTTTGTTGCCTTAAAAAAAAAAAAGAAAGAAAGAAAATATTCAACATCTTAAATATCTCCTAACTTCAGTCTATACAAGAAATTAAATAATATTTTGGAAAATTAATCATACTTAACAAGATAGGATAGATATTAACACAGGCAGGCAATGGGCCCCCCAAAGCCTTTTTAAAATGCAAAGGCCACTCAATGAAATTAACCTGTAGAAATATTCCAAACATTCCAGCCAACTTGTTTGTTCTGGAGCAACAGGAAAAGGGAGCAGGGAGCAGGCCACAGGCCAGATCTGAGCGAAGGCTACAGACTCGATTTTCCAATACCTCTTTTATACAGATACAGACCAATAGCCTTGGCGCTTTTCCAATATCTGTTTAGCATAGATAGTGATCAATGACTCTGCCTGGTAGCTATATTAATTCCTAGACTAGTATACTTAGTTGACAACCTGCTATCCCCACCTTCCATCTCATTTCTTTTCTTCTCACTTGAATAAATCCCACGCCTTTACTCTTACTCTCTGTTGTCTGTGGGTTTCATTTTTTTTGAATTTGAGAGATGAGAACCCAGAAAGAAGTCACTGGCTGGGCTCTGCTGCATCACTACAGAGCTACAGCACAGATCCTGCTATTGACTGTATCAATGGAGAATCAGGTTTTGCCTGCTGCAGAGATTCCCTGCTGTGAAGGTACAATTGTAGCATCTCTAAATGTGGTTTCACTTCGCATATAGTTTTTTAAAAAATCTTTTAAAGTCTTAATTTATATTTTAACTTCAAATGTATTTTCAGTGTCTCAGATAAACTTTAATCTTGAATCCTAAAGGACCCCTGAGACAAAAGTATACTTTAAAGCTTCCTCATCTTCTGGTTGTCAGTTTCCCCCAGTCTCCAGTTTTACCCTGACTTCATCAAACCATTTGTTTGGTTTGGGCCTTTCTAAAGGGAAGCCTAGGGCTTGGCTCCAGATGAACTGTGTCAGCACACCCAGTGCCCATGACGTCCCAATGAGGACCATGTAGTAATTCATCTCCATCACGCCATAGTACTGGAGCAGCACCCCACTGTAAGCATCTATATTTGGCCAAGGATTCTTGGCTTTCCCTGCTCCAAAAGGATAGTGGGCACAATCTTGTACAATTGAGCAACAAGTTTGAACATAGGGTCATTAGGCAGGTGTTTCAGAGCAAACTCTCACTGACTAGAATATTGTGGATTTGTCTTCCTTAGTACTACATGGCCACAGTCTAGGACAACCCGTCCTGAATTGAGTGTGCTCCAATTGTAGTTCTTTCATCTGATACATCTCTGCCAACTTCCTTCTGCAGTTGTGATTCACTAGTGATTCACTAGTCCTTTTAGAGGCCCTGCTAGCCTATTCAGCTGGTGCAAAGAATGGTTAAAGATCTGAAAAGGCACTGCCCACCAAGTGGTTGGTGTGGGCACTTACATTGCCACCTTCTTGGTCACTGTGGATGGTGAGGTATAAGCACATGAGCTTACTGAACTGAGCATTAGTATAGCCTAACCCGTTTGTGAAATTGTGGCACCAGTCCAACTTAGAATCAATGACCCCAATACTGCTGCCCTCCTGGTAGAGATTCTGGTAGCTCTCTACAGCAATACAAGGTAGTTTTTCGATGATATCCATACAATCTTAATATAACTCCCAGTATTTGGTTTGATTAATACCCTCTGCATATGCCCAGGCAAAGTTACTTTCACTATTGAGCGCTGTAATGGCTGCAATGAGTTGAGACATGGAATACAGATTGGTAGGAAAGTTGTCCAGCATGGTGAACACATGAGAAGGCAGAGCTGCCTTCTTTGTCCACTCCTTTGAAAACCAAGATAACTGGACAGATCCCAAGAGAGAAACAGGTATCAGTAGCCAAAATAAGCCCTCAGGGAGGGGTTCTTAAAAGAATGCTCTCATTGGGATTAAGAACTGATGTTTCATATACAAGTCCTTTCATGCCTCTCATGACACCACACATCATGTTCACAGTGATTTGGCCCACCACTGTCTTGCCATATTGCTGCCTGAATGCCTTAATTCTGCCCTGCTAAGGTATCAGGTTGGTCAATATGCCTTTCAAATTAGTGGAAGAAGTACGGCTTGATGGGCAACAAGAACAAGACAGGATGTGTTCTTGGCACTCAAGAGCTGTGTGGCAGCAGTGAGTAAAGCTATAGCAGGCAACTTTAGGATCTGGTAAGGAGGGAAGAAGAGGAGAGAGATGTGGCAGAAACAGAAGCTGCTGCTACCAGAGGCCACATCAATGGGTGAAATCAGTATAGTTGTTGTGATACTTTGTACAATACATACTTTCTTTTACCCATGTGATCTTTTAAACCTAATCACAGATATCAACAACAAATACACCAAAAAACCTGAATTAACATTCATGATAAACACCTCTTAAAAAAAGATTGATATTTTATTTGTATTTTATATTCGGCTTTCTGAATAACAAGTGTACTTTTCTTTTTTTTAATCAATTATCTTAAACATTTGGAAATATTAAATATAATCTGTTACTATAATATAAAACAAAATTCTTATTTAGCTAATTGCATTTTTTATTTTGTTTTGGGGTTTTCTTGCTAGTGGGGATTGAACCCAAGGGCACTTTGCAACTGAGCTACATCCCCAGCTCTTTTTATTTATTACTTTAAGTTGCTGAAGCAGGTCTGGAACTTGTGATTCTCCTGCCTCAGTTCCAGAATCATTAGGATTATAGGCACTCACCACTACACCTACCTTAATTCCATGTTTTGATAACTTTTGCCTTCAAATCTGCTTATCATACACAGGGGCACAATTATTGCTTTTCAAAAAGCTAATCTATTAGATAGGACCATGCCAATAAATTTGCCATAATTTTATAAGTACTTCTGTTCTTCCATTTGAAATCAACATAAAGCCTTTTGCGTTTTGAAGCTGAGCAATAATCTGCCTTAAATTAACTCATTTTTAGATGGCTTAAAATTAAAAAAAAAAGCAAAAGGTGCCCTTTAGAAATGATCCTATTTTCCTATTATAACATATATAGATACATTTATCCATATATTTGGTAAGAAAGAATTGTGAATTAATTAGAACCCCCACCTCAGAACTTACTGGGTATAAGCTCCCCCATGGGAAGAATGGAAGACAGCCTTGACAAGAGGCAAACTAGTGCCGAGTCACAATAATTTGTGGCTAATATAGTTATCAGCCATTAAATCAAGTGGGGCTGAGGTTGTGGCTACATGCATGAGGCACTGGGTTCGATCCTCAGCATCACATAAAAATAAATAGATATTGTGTCTATCTACAATTAAAAAAATATTTTAAAAAAGGAAAAATAAATCAAGTGGTTTTAAAGAGAATTTCTAAACTGATTATGCATGCTGGTGAGTGCCATATTACTAAAATATTTTATATAGAGTTCAATTCATATACCAAGAGTGAATCAATTAATCATTGCTCTCCTTAATAATCGATTTCTAGATCCTCGGGCTGTCCCCTCCAATACTTAAATTACTATTCCATCTGGTCTTCAATTACTCAAGACTCCACCACCCTCTTCCTTCTCTTCCGGCATCATTCTATAGCAAATGAGTCTCCCACTTTGTTCTGTAAGCCAACTTCAGTTCCCAAGGCAATGTGCATTTGCTATATCAAACCCAACTCTGGTTGTTCAGGTTTTTAGAAAGCAATAGAAACTATTCAAGTGGTCCTGTACATCTTTTTACATCTCTCATTCCTTTCATCTCTCTCAAGATTTTCTTGTCCCCTGCGACAGTTTGAAAAACACTGGTATCTGTGAAGTAGGTGTGGTTTCAGGGTGTAGGATTATTCAACATGTTTGCAAGGCCATGTGGCAGTTATGCTGGACACTGTCAACTTTAACTTCACAATCTGAAATGAAACGGAGTCATGCAAATACAAATATACAGGCAGAGCCTTTATTAGGAAGGCTTCCACCTGAGAAGGGAGACACAGCTCCAAGAAGAAAGTGTCAGGCTGGCTCACTAGAACAATAAAAGGAACTAGTTTTATTGACTGCTTTTAGGAGTGGACTTTAGGAAATTGTCTCATGAGTTAAGTGAAAGTACCTGGCTCTAATGTGTGCTTAGTACTGTTTGAGAGTGAATAGATGAGGCTTGTTTGGTGTCTGACCTTAAGGTTTTGATGGCTATATGGTAATGAGCCGAGGGCAAGGAGTGCATTTGCTCTTTGTCCTTAATATCTAAGTAGCTCTAATGGTAGCAGCCCAGAAAGCCAGGAGTATGTTGAAAACATTTAATACTTTGTTGGGATAACAGAAGTTGGGTTTTTAGAAAGTAGTAGAAACTGTTCAAGTTGGTCCTGTACATCTTTTAGCGTTTTCAACCTTCTGAACCTTTTGGAATTAGTAAAGTCAGATTTTTATATGTAATTTAAGAAGAACATTAAATGATCCTTCAACTCTAAATTCCATTTAATATTTTAGATTTAATATGTTTGCTGCTACATGGCTAAACATAAAAACTAACCATGTAGTTTCATGGAATGGAAATGTCACTCAGGAAGGAATAATGAAAACTTGCTGGAAATGGAAGAATAAAAAAAAAAAAAACCAAAACCCACAAAAAACAAAACAAAAAACCCATAGTAAGAAGAGGAAGGTAGAAAAAAAAACATCATTTTGGATCTTCCTTTAGAAAACTCTCGTCCCATATCAATGTGATTCCACAGCCAGGTGTGGTGTTGCACAACCTGTAATCAAAGCTTCTCTAGAGCCTGAGGCAGAAGGATCCAAGTTTGAGGCTGCCTGGGCAACTTAATATAACCCTTTTTAGAATTTTCAAAATTCTAAAAAAGGGTTGGGGTACAGCTCAGTGACAAAGGATTCCTGGGTTCAATCCCCAGTACAAGAAAGAAAAGTGATTCCAATTATCTTTTGCAGTAATAATTCTAAAATCTATCAGAATATACTATAGAAAAAAATTAATGATAGGATTAGCTGGGTGATAAATCAAAATCTGTGATAACAGATGCCTTACCTTCTTTATGTCGGTTGAAGAGAATGCTCTGTGTTTTCAGAATTAAAATTATATTTTCTGGATCTGGTCCATCCACTATTTTTGTTGATTTGGTACATAAAAATTCATATGCTTTATTTACTTTTTCAAACATATCCTATGTACAACCAAAGGTAATTAAATTTTAACTTGGATGATCTCAAATCACAACAGGGTAAAGATGGCTTATAATTTACC